AAATTATTTATATATATATATATATATATATAAGTCCACTAAACACCTCATTTAATAAACAACAAAAATGTTTGTTGAAATAAAGTTTTTTTATTTTTGAAGAAAAATAAAGTTTGGTTATTAAAGAAAGTCCAAGTTAGTTGCCACAATCAGTGGCATAACGGTAAATAAGAGCCAACTTCCTCTACCAAAAGTTTTCTATAAATTCAACCACTCACCTCTCACTCTAAAACTCAACAACATATATTCACATATCTTTCTTTCTTTCTCTTGACGGAAGGAAGAAGAAAGAAGATCTCCAAGTCGTCCCTAGTATCTGCTTTTTCTTGTAGCTTCTTAACACAAAAAGTAAACATGGGTCGCCATGTCGGGTTCTTAGTTTTGGTTATGGTAGGAGTAATGGCTTCTTCTGTGAGCGGCTATGGTGGTGGTGGCGGTGGCGGTTGGGTCAATGCTCATGCAACGTTCTACGGGGGTGGCGATGCTTCTGGCACAATGGGTAAACAATCCTTATTTACAAAACTCATTTCTAACCAATTATCAAATTTACTGATCTTCAATGTTACTACTACGTTGTAGGTGGTGCTTGTGGATATGGTAATCTATATAGCCAAGGCTACGGGACGAGCACTGCGGCTTTGAGTACGGCTTTGTTCAACAATGGACTTAGCTGTGGTTCTTGCTTTGAGATAAGATGTGAAAACGATGGTAAATGGTGTTTGCCTGGCTCAATCGTTGTAACCGCTACAAACTTCTGTCCTCCAAACAACGCCTTAGCCAACAACAATGGTGGTTGGTGTAATCCTCCTCTTCAACACTTTGACCTTGCTCAGCCTGTGTTTCAACGCATTGCTCAATACAGAGCTGGAATCGTTCCAGTTTCCTACAGGAGGTGAAAACAAACTAAAACTTCGAACGTTTTCTTGAATTGCTCTGTTTTATAAAACAGAGGATATCATAATTCACATATTTTCTTGAATTGCTCTGTTTTAGAAAACAGAGGATATCATAATCCACATATGTTCTTGAAATCAGTGATCAAACATAAAAATTATGTTCGTTTTGTTCGCTGAACTTGGGAGTTTTACTTTGTTCTGTAGGGTACCATGCAGGAGAAGAGGAGGAATAAGATTCACGATAAATGGCCACTCATACTTCAACCTTGTTCTGATCACTAACGTCGGTGGTGCCGGAGACGTTCACTCGGCGGCGATCAAGGGTTCAAGAACAGGTTGGCAAACTATGTCAAGAAACTGGGGACAAAACTGGCAAAGCAACTCTTACCTCAACGGTCAAGCACTTTCCTTCAAGGTCACCACCAGCGACGGCCGTACCGTTGTCTCCTACAACGCCGCTCCTGCCGGCTGGTCTTACGGCCAGACCTTCGCCGGAGGACAGTTCCGCTAGAAAGGGCAATTCGGTCTATCTCTTCTCCTTTATATCTATAGTAAAACTCATTTGTGTTGGTGTGTAGAGGGCAATATTAGTAAACTCGGTTATTGAGAGAGTGGTGCGTCGAGGGCTCGGTTTTGCAGAAGGCCTTGATGACGTCTATCTTTTTTTGGACCTCTTTATGTTTTCTTTCTTAAAACTAGTTTTTGTTAAGAAAGAAAACACAAAAAAAAAAAATATATATAGTATAGTTGATGTATTACTGATGCAGAGGTGGAGTTTTAACTACCACCCGCTAGTAGTAGTATTGAGTTATTTTCAAGACGTGAGAGATGATGGGTTGTGATGTTGTGTTATGAGACTAAGAAAAGTTGTTATATATGTTTGTAATAATACTCAATTCTTTACTAAAGTTATGAAATGTCTTTTTGGGTTTGATTACTTTTTACATTTTTTCACTTTTTGATTTACAATGCTAATTTAGCTTTAGCTTTTGAATTGTAAATGGTCGACAACCGACGTTCACAATCTCTTTCAATGTATATTTCTCCTTTATTACACATTCAAATAAAGCAAAATCCAACGACCGATGTTGGCAATCCCATTCTTCAATGTTTTCCCAATTTAAGAACATTCAAATGAAGCAAAACTCAACAACTTAAAATGAAAAATTTGTTGCATTCCTATAAACGGTCCTTGTGGCACGATAAACAATATATAGACCTAGTGGTCCAAAACCCTTTAAATCTCTATCCAACAACAACCTAATTTAAGGTTAGGTGCTTACTAGCTTCTAGATTGAGATACCACAGCGACATAAAACTATTGTCTCTATGGGTTATGTTATCATGACTATATACTAATTTCAGATTTTAATAGCTGATGTATCTAAAGTAATCACATGATCAGAATATGATGAAGGTATCATTTTAGCAGTTACGGTGGGATATTGAAACAAATTACAAATATATGTGTGTTTTATGTCACGACATTGTCTAAAGTGGAGGTTCCATGAGTATAACGTTTTGGTGTCGCCCACAGTAAATTGATGACATACATTTACAAAGTGATCCACACAACAAAAGGAAGTAACTAACGCCTCCATGTGGTGGCTAACAACTAAAGTTTTAAAAGGTCCCACTCTTGATGGATTTTGCTACAACGTGACTCATATGAACCGACGACATCATGCACCACCGGTTCTGTTTTACGAAGAAATAACAAGCACTCCATATATTCATGTGGGAAGAAGATATGAGCCAAATTTAAAGCATCGAGATAATGTCCATCCATTGCATGTTGGCATTAATGTGAGTGGGCATTATCTCGATGCATGCTTATTATGGAGTTTGAGTGAGAGAGTAGGGGTGATAATGTTGAATTTTGTTTTTATAGGTTGGTTTGGGTTTGGTCCGGTTCAGTATATTTAGTTTTAGTTGAATCTTACCGAAGTTAGTTTGGTTCTATTTCTCGGCTCGATTTGGGTTTAGTTTGGTTTGTTTCAATTTAGTCATGTTGGAATTGGTTCTCAAAATACTTAACCTACAAAAACTTGCGAAAAAGTATGGTAAGTTTTGAGGTTTTCATATATCTTCTGATAAAACAAACAATAAAAGATAATTGATTAGAAGAAAAGCAAAACCAACAACTAAAACTAAAACTAAAAGAAACCAAACCATTTGGGTTGAAGAAAGATTAACCAAACGGATAATGCATAGAGCCAAGGTTATGGTTCGGTTCAAATGCCTAACCCTATGATATAGAGCAACAATGGGAACAACATGTAAAATATATACGACTTCTAGAAATGCAAACTGTTACAGACAACAACATTACACCTTCGCGCGAATGGCAGATGCATTTAACACCAAAGACACTAGCTCCGACTCGTTGACGATTTGGTAGGCAACCGAATCAGAAGTTTCACATAAATACGAGTAAAACATTTTAGGCACATTTAAACCATTCAAACGACTTTTAGATGAATTAAATTGCATTCACTATTCTGTAGTCTCTTCTGAGACCATACTTTAAAGACATACTTCTAGTTATGTTCTAACTTCTAACGGAGTCTTTCCTTTCAAATTGTACAATTTAACGCATACTAATCCTTATGTCTAGTGGAAAACTAATTAACTACTATGTATAGTACTATATTTTTATCTTTTTTTGGACAAAAGTACTAAATTAAAAACTATAAACAAATGACTAGATTTTTCATTTTTTTCTTTCAAATACTCTTTTCCAAACTATATTTTAATTATATCTCACGTTTTTACATGATCATCAAAGAATAATTGAAAGAAGTTGTCATATTCCTTGAGATTAGTTAACCAACCATGCAAACATCATTGCATACTTTTTTTTTTTGGTTCACCAATTGTTGAAATTTATTTCACTACATTGTTAAAAAATTTGGGTGGCAGTTGTATGGGTTGCAAAATGAATTCCAAGTTTTGGTAGCCCATTCCATTACATCCTGAAATGAAAATGGAGTTGGTCCAAAGCCCATTTAGAAAATAGTATACAACAAGACAGTATAATAAACCGTGGACCTTCGTTCTTCTTTCTCTTACATTTGTCATCCTCGATAATCAAACACTGTTGCCTCTAAGTTCACCACTCGCACGTGTACATCGTCACCTTTTCATTTCATCTGCTTTTCTTTCTATTTTCATTTTTATATAACAAATAAAAAACAACACACAAAATGGAAATGATGAATCAACAACACTGGACAAAAATGTCAAAAGGAGTTTAAGATGCTTGGACTAGGATATCTAGATTTTCTAAATGAAGTGTACGCCATGAACAGTTTTGTGAATAGTTCGTTTGAATGTGCAGCTTCCCAATACAACGAAACAATATGTATATTTTAAAAAATACAATTGAGTTTATACAATTTTGTTGGTCACAAATAGTGTAGTACAGTATGCACCATAAGCTTATAGTTTTTTTTTTTTTTTTTTTTTTTTTTTTTTTTTTTGCGAGTGCTCTTTTCTTTATACAAAAAACAAAAAGAAAAAGAAAAGCTAACAGTTTTATGAAAACAATGAAAATTTTTCCTGAAGGGATGAATGTCTCAGACAGGTACGTCAAAATCATTGTTGTTACATTTTTGTGTATGATACAAAAAATGCTGAGAGTTTTTTGTTTTTCAAACTTTTGTGAATTCGAATATTCATACTGTTAAGTCCACGTCTAGATTATGAATGAATGAATACAAGATTCGCATTATTGTTTTTTTTCTTCTTTATATAATGGATATTGCATTTTGATGAAGGGTGATCAATATAACCCTATCAATAATACCAGTTTACCAAACCAGTCACATCCAGTCGCTTTTACCACTTGGACAAATCTGAGTCTGACTTTGACTTTGAAGTTTGAACATTACTTCTGTCTTGTTTATTTTATACATTATAGGTCCCTCTTTTTGTTATTATATTTAAATAGGTTTCATTTAGGTCCATCATGAGTATTGGTGCATTAATTATTGGATTTTGCGAAAAAAAAAGAGCATTGAATTAGTCTTGATTCCATGAACTAAGATCTGATGGGATTTACTGTTGGAAGCTCTTTGGGTACGTACAGCTCTATTGTCATAGATGGCTGTAGCATCACCTGTCCTTCAAATTACTGAATCATCCATACCTTCTGGATTCATCAGAGGGTCAGGTTAGCTAGCTACAACCCCCATAGTCATAGACCTCTTCTTGCCTAGTTCCCTCTCTCGATTTGGATCTGCAAATTTCGCTGCTGAGGTTCAGCTTGCTTATTGCGAGTGTTATACTTGCTGAGCTGTGACACACATCACCAATTTTTACCACTACTCTCTCTCTCTCTTTAGACAACTATTGTTTTGTCTCCATTTCTTTCACTTTTTTAGATTCTTACTTAAAGTGACCTTTTCCAATTGCTTTGTTTCTTATTTTGGTATTAGAGTTAATATTCCATACGTACACACTCTCTACTATACTATTATATATGGCTCTAAATCCAAATTTTCTTTACTTGGCTTGTAGTCGACATGCATTATATAGGATTATGTATGAAAAGTAATGAACGGACAGAGATACTTTTTATCAACTGGTTAGATTATGTTGGCAATGGACGTTGAGTTGTTTATTATAGATACATGATAATGTGATCGTTAGCCAAATCGTGTTTAGATTATGTTTCCTAGCGTTGAACAGATCCGAAGAAGGGATCGGAGAGGCATTAAAGCATGTGAGGGGTGGGGGCAGGTAAGTGTCCTCTAAACAATAAGAAGTGGGTCTTTGCATTAGGTTGCTGACAGCTTACCCATACTTACAACACCCATTACTGTTCGAAGATTTAACAAATATTATCATGCAAAGAGTACTTTTTTGTCCTTTCTTTAACTCCTTTAATTGCGACACTCTTAACGGACTTCGGTTAAGACGCAGCCCTGAAGAATACTGAATACCCATTCGGCATGCCTCACCAAAGTTACCATTACTACTACTATTATGTATGTTATGTATACATGAGAGATCACTTCAGACTCATGTGTACGTATCATTTACCTATACGCCGTTTCTGCTTTTCATCTCGTATTGAAAGCAACCAGAGCGTTTAGCACAATACTAGATATTATATGATCGTTACAAACTTACAATGATAACTATTCAATGACGCTGTTTAAATATTTCTTGGAGATGTAAATTCATAACCCTACCAATTCAATAGTTACAGCACAGATAACTATTGTTTCAAATACCTCTATAAATATTCGTAACATTTAATTTTCTCATCTTCATAATTAAAACCCCTCAGACAAGAAAACAAAATCATCCAATAAAAAATCAACCAAATTGAGGACAAAACTAGACGAACCCATGAGTTAACTGTCGTAACTATTGAATTGGTAGGGTTATGAATTTTTATTAGAGCAAGGAAAGAGTTCAAAAAATATGGCTCTGTCAAGGGAACACACCTAACAGAATCTCATGGATTAGCCTTTGTCTTCTGCTGCTCCCTTACGCCCCACTACTTGTCACATTCCTTCGTTTTTTAATTCTTTATTACTATATACTATAGTTTTCTTTTATTTCACCATCAATTGTTTTCTTCATTATTGTCCTTCCATATAATTTTAAATTATATATATACAGAAGTTTTTCATACCAAGTTCAACAAAGCCTTATTTTATAGGCATGATCTCAGGTCGGGTCGTTACCCTACCTTCATATAAATTTGTTTACAACCGACTGTTTGACCAATATATCAGATATTATTCACTGTTATGTTTTTTTTCTTAAATCTGTAAGATGTTTAACGTTACATACACGTACAAATTATAAATTTCCAAATTTATGATAAGACTAAGTTAATACTTTGGTCCGGCGAGTCATATACGACATATGGAGTTGGAAACCCCTAAGACCGGTTAAGTTATAATTTTAAGGAGAACTAAGTCCGGTAATGGAAACGAAAGAGTAGTGTGATTGTAACCAAAAATACGAATGAGGTTAAAAGAAAGAGAGGGTAGAATTTAAGACAAACTTTATTGGTGGATGTGAGGGAGGAAAATAGAGATATAGGGGCAAAGGGGGCTATGAGGATTAGATGGGTCATTGATTCATTCATCTTTGAAAATTGGGAGAGATAGACTTTACTGTTTGGTTACCTTTCACGTCATCTCTTTTTGGAAACTCCAAAAACAGTATGAGTTTGTGTGTGTCTTCGTGATCTGTTCCCACCATTTATCCTCTCTGTCTCTCCACTTCCTTTCTTTACTCTCACTTTCTTGTTCATTTTCTGTTTCCTCCTCACTAGTTTACTTTCTCCTCTTTTTTAATCACTAAATCCCAACCATTTTGCATTAACCATACTACAAATATCTTAAAAGCTAAAGAAATATTTTCAATTGAAGGATGTTTTTTCAAACGGCTCTGATATACTTTAAATAACTCAATTGATTAGCATTTGAAAATATGTAGATAGCCTCTCAAAATCCATTAAATGACAAATATTTTGGGGATATAATCTTATAAAGCTGCACACTTATTAACCTTGTTGTAGAAATCCGCACATAACCTTTACATAGACAAAACCCGAATTAGTTTGATTTTGGTTTTGTTCTGTAGTTTTCTCTTTTCTAAGCAAGTACATATTCCCTAAGTGTTTGTGATTGTTCGATAGATGTATGGTGATATATCGTGCGTGTGTGTGAGTACAATTAGGAGAATACACGTGATGTTTGTGCGACATCACACGCCAAAATCGGGCCATGGGGACGCATCACAGTTGAAGAGAAAAGAATTCTCCTGTGAATTGAATTGGATCCTATGTTATTCTTAACATGCACGTGTTCATCATCTCCACCTTTCATTAGCAATATAATTACCATTATTTCTTTTAGGCAAAAGGTAATATCAATACTAATTTCAATCTAGTAATTTCTTTCAATCGAAGCGAATTTTATTTTCTAAGAATTCACTGTTTTACTTGCATTGACTACTATAATTATTGAAGACGTCTAAAATATTTTAGAAAACTAACTCTTGTTAGGTCGAAAAGAAATACAGTATGTCTACATGTATACATTTGTTTTTTATCTTAGTGTAAGATAATTAATCACAAAATAAACACGTCAATGCGACGTCAAAAAGACTCTTTGAACTTTGAAGGGAGTTCTCTTGAAAGCAGCAGCCGCTCTTGTGAACTTCTACGTATATACGTTGCTGATCAAACGTATAACTTATATAACATATATAATCGCACAGAGAATATCATAGCAATTATGAACATTTACTTAACAAAATGTAGTTGCTTATTCAGTCATTAACACGCTAAGACAAACAATGCTCAAGCGCGGTCACATCAAACTCCTTCTATCCTCCAATCTTATCTCTTTACTTTTCAAGGATTCATTGTAAACATTCCATCAAGTTTATTTGTAAATTCGTATGTAAATGAAAATTTATGTTTTTGATATAATATTAGATGAATGAATTAATCGAAAATATAGTTCTAGTCTACTATATAGATATAAGCAAATCAAACAAGACTGATTCACACAAAACAAAAGAAGAAGCAAGTCCGGAAGCCCCCACCTAAGCTAGTGGCTCTTGTCAGTTAAGTTGTTAAGTCTTTTTATTTTATTTTATTACAAATAACATATAACGTATTTTATACTTACATAAAACGATAAGAACAAGAAGTTGCAATAAGTTTTTATCTTTAGAAATCGGGGTTTTACAACCAAAAAAAAAAAGAAATCGGGGTTTTACAAAATTAGTAATTAATATAAATAGAAGGTTCTGTTATATAAAAATTAAATGTTTCAAAGAGATTGACCGTTTTAAAAAAATGAGAGGAGAAAATAGAGAGTTTATATAGTGCGTTCGGTTAATCTCTGAGCAGAGGGATCGTACAGCTCTGAGACCCTTTCGAAATCTGATATTATAAAAAATTTATCCCATATTTAATGGTTACGTCTGCCAATTGTGGTGGTTTCTGGTCAAATACGAAAAGGTCTTACAAGATTTATTTTATTTTGCCTTTTTACTATGATCATTACTAGCTCAGACACATCCACACGGCCGGCCACACTACTCTATATATGTAATATCATGTGATATATGCTAATGTATACATATTACACATGACATGAAAGCCAATGGTTAAGACTTAGTAAGAGAAAAGATTGAGATTAATTTGGTTTCAATTTCACAGAAAGAAAATGGTTGTAAAAGGGCAAAGGAAAGAGAGACAAGTGGGAGATTATAGAAGTGATGGTTAAGAGAGGAAAAGGTAAAGTTTAAGGAACATTGAAATGAAAAGAAAGAAAAAAAAGTGAACGAGAGAATTTGGTTGTGTGCTAAGAAGAGACACAACTCATTCCCCAATGGTAAACTCTCTCTTTTGCCTTCATCCTTTTTAGGTAGTTATTGTTCTTCTGCTTCAGCCTTCTTTTTCGACCATCTCGTTAGCTTTTATTATTTTATTTTTTCACTTCGCACCTATGATAAATATTCACCTTATAACGGTAGGATTCATTTGGGTTTCGTCCAATAATATGTTCACCACATTAATTTTATATTTTCATAAATCATAATCCATTGGTTTCCCATTTAAAGAGGAAGTCATGTCTTACATACGTACATATATAAAGATAAACATTAAATATTCATGGAAAAAACTATTATTACCAATCTATGGACATGTAGTAAAAGTTATAGTAAAACTGTGAAACTCATTGTTTACAAATCTCAATTATTTTGAAGTTTAAAAAAAAAAAATTTATATCAGAAAATTTTATTATTGAACTTCTTCTATGAAGGTAGGTACACCTGAACACGTTTTTATAACAGTCCACAGCAAAATCGAATATCGATAATACATTACATGTACTTACTTATTATTACAGTAGTAATAATAAGAATGTGTAAATGCAATATAAACTATGGCGTTTGGATCAGCCCGTGATCCATAAACCCTTTTTAACAGTCGTCAGAAAACACGGTCGCGACATGTACATACACGCACATACCTAAAGCCATACGTAACAAACACACCATTTTATATAAAAGATTTTTATTGTCTTTTATAAAAATAAAAATAATATTTATGACACACACACATATATATATATATATATATACGTACGTGTAATATATAATAAGCAAATGAACTCACATATAAGTTTCTTTCTCCTCCGATGGTAATAGTCTAAAAGCTGACGTGACATCTCTTTCATATCTCAAAATTACACTTCTTCTTCTCCTTCTCTCCCAAACAACAACTCCATGTTTATAACGGAGAAACAATTGTGGATGGATGAAATCGCCGCAAGAAGAGCTTCTTCTTCTTCTTGGGACTTCCCTTTCAACGACATTAACATTCATCAGCAGCGTCACTGCAACACAAGTCATGAATTCGAAATCTTGAAGACTTCTCTTGGAGATGTATCGGCTCACGAAGAAGAGAGTAATACTCATAACCCTAATTTTAGTAACAGCGAGAGTGGTAATAAGAAGGAGACAACAGATAGTGGTCAGTCTTGGTCTTCTTCATCTTCAAAACCGTCGACATTGGGGAGAGGACATTGGAGACCAGCTGAAGATGTTAAACTCAAAGAGCTTGTCTCCATTTATGGACCACAAAACTGGAACCTCATAGCTGAAAAGCTTCAAGGAAGATCCGGTAATTAAATCTTTTTTTTTTTTGAAGGGTCTTCAAGATTTCATCAAATGTTAATTTTTTTTTTTTTAAAGATCTTATCAAATGTATGGCTAATTAATTAAGTCAATGATTTAAGCTTGATAAGGATCCGGGGATAAAATTAGATCTTTGAAAGAAAAAAAACTTGGTCTTCTCGGTCACAAAGTCAAAGATGTGAGCTTATTAATTTGTATTTGTATTTTGTTGGTTAACAGGGAAGAGCTGTAGACTACGGTGGTTTAACCAATTGGATCCGAGGATACACCGAAGAGCTTTCACTGAAGAGGAAGAAGAGAGGCTGATGCAAGCACATAGGCTTTATGGTAACAAATGGGCAATGATTGCGAGGCTTTTCCCTGGTAGAACTGATAATTCTGTTAAGAACCATTGGCATGTTATCATGGCTCGTAAGTATAGAGAGCACTCCTCCGCTTACCGTAGGAGGAAGCTTATGAACAATAATCCTCTTAAAACTCACCTCCCTAATAATCACCATCCTAACCCTAACCCTAATTACCACTCTTTTCTCTCCACTAATCATTACTTCGCCCAGCCTTTCCCCGAGTTCAATTTGGCTCATCACCTGGTTAATAATGCCCCTATCACGAGTGACCAAAACCAACTTGTGTTTCCTTTCCATTGCTTTCAAGGTTGTGTAACGCTCTCTTCTCTTCCTTCTAGTCCATTAGTTTGTTCAACTCTTTCTTGTATATTTTAGTTTCATTTGTTTAATATTGATTTTTGGTGTATCTATAATTAATGTTCAGGTTATGAGAGCAATGACACTCCCATGGTTGTGAGTATGTTTAGCAATCAAATGATGGTCGCCGATAACGTTGGTGCCACGTCAGACGCTTTATATTGGAATGGAAGCCAAGGGAAAGAGGAACTGGATCATGAGCCGATGCATTGGATTGGAATGGAAGCGGTAGATGAAGAGGTGGTCGAGAAGGCTAAGCAGCAACCACATTATTTCGATTTTCTTGGCTTGGGGACGGCCGCTAGTGAATCTTGAACACATTGCTGTTAGTCATGTTTGGCCTTTCTGTTGCACATGGACAAACCAAGATTCAAGTAATAGTCCATGTGTTTACGTTAAATACTAAACTGTAGGTTGTTGTGTGTTGTTGGCTGTCTAGTGTAATAACAGTCCATAAATTATCGTTTTTTTTCTTTCATAATTATTAACTAGAGAGATTGTTACTTACATATAAAAAAAAAGATGATTCTTTTATGATGAAGTGACGTGAGATATGGTAAAGAGATGAGTGAGAGAGAGAGAGAGAGAGAAGGGAAACTGAAAGAGTGTAGTTTAAAAGAGAGATACGAAGATGCGTAAATAAGAGAAGAGGAAGTTGCAAAGAATGAGGCAGAGATTGTGCAACAGAAAGGCCAAACATGAAACATGCTCACCAAATCGCACACACACATTGCATTTGTTTCTTCCTTCCAAACCGTTTCTCCCAAACTCTCTTCTAAAAGCTTCTTTGTGTATCTCTCTCTCTCTCTCTCTCTCTCATGTCACGCGGACCCCCACACATGCCCCCTTCTCTTTTTTTATATCTTCTTTTTTCATGTTTATAATTCTTGAAATTTTATATTTTTAGTTTTAGGGTTGAAACTAAATATAGTCTTTGTTTTGGGTATATGATCAACAAAACGGTACGCTTGCTGTTGTTCCATCACCAAAACAGGACGGTGTTCAAATTCATGACACATGAACGTTCAACATTGTGGTCTTTCAATATGCCCATTGGGCCTTCCAATTGGTTCATTCGGCCCAAATCAAACCCTTCTGCAGGTGTTCCGGTGTCTCTTTTTGGCTGAACAAACATCCGCGTGAGGGTCAGTTATAGCAAGACTGATGATCTACAACAAACGATTGAAAACTCTACAACATAAAAGCTAGAGAAACTATTATTACAGATATAAGAAAATAAAACCTCTTCGTTATGGGAACGAAAAGGACTAAAAACCAAACATCAATTTAATATAACCTTTAGAGTTTAGACATAGTAAACGCTGAAACGCACCCAACTTAAAAGGTTACATGTCTCACTCTCCACCACAAGTAAAGATTATTCCGCAAGATCACAAAACTTGGCAACAATGAAACCAAGAGTTTCCGAGTACAATAGATGAGCGAAGTCGGTGTTTAGTGTGTTACCGAATAACTCCGTCTACTAACACATTATTTTGAAACCTTTCAAGGTAGTAACCTTTTTTTTTTCCCCCATATAAAGTAAAGTGATAAAACAGATTTCTATATTTTTATTTTTTCCCCTTTAGACTATGAAAGAGTCTTTTAATGTTTCCAAAAAAAAGAGACTTTAGGCTTCTCCTTTAATTAGCTTTTCTTTTGTGTCAATCAGATGGATTCTAGACCAAGGACTGAAAGTTAAGATTCTCTGCTTTTTCTCCTTTACATGAAAAATTCACACTCATATGTTTTTCTATATTATTATAATTTTTTTATAAAACTAATTTATACGCTAGTATTATAAATTAATGGAATAAACAATGTCTTTGAGCCACATTTTACCAAAAAAAAAGAGATTAAATTTCAGCATGTCCATCCGTTAGGATAGTGTACAAAATGGGGCATATAAATAAGATTGATATTAAAAGTTATCTGCAGTTTCACCACACAACAAAGATATCTACAAATTTTGTTCTATTAGGTAACAACTCAATATACAAAATTCATATTCTATATTAGTATCTCGTTAACGTTTACATGCTTTCCCTGAAGTTCATTGATCTTGCCATGGCTGCAGGGTTTGCTTGCAGGTTAAGATACGTTTGAGGCACAAACCTATTGTTGTTGCTCTTTCTTTCAGATCCATCACTGAAGAAGTTAAATTGCTTTGTCTTCTCATGTTTCATCGATACAGGATACCACATATTGTTCTCCGTAGTTGCTTCGTTATTGATACTTTGGGATTCTGAAACTAATCTTGCTCTTACAAAAGCATCTTTGCTCTCTGTAGCGGTTTCATGTGAAGCTTCGTCTCTTTTCCTTTTCCCAAGGCATGTGGAAGCCTCTACGGTAGACCAAACCGGTACCGCACAGCCCCAGTAGACGGGCATGTGGTAGAAACTAGAGTTAGGAGGGTATTGATAAGGCCAAGGATGCGAAACAGGGGATGTTTCTTGCGGAGGAAGAAACCCTTGGAAGTTGTTTTGTTCTTGTGAAACAAAATCAGGGTTTGTGTTCGCATCCCTTGATTGATGATGCTTAGCATTCTCAGTAACCGAAGAGTCCGAAGACTCGAAGTTTAAAATCTTCGCTGAGGAGCTATTGTAATGGTCAGTATCCTCGGAAGTGATGTGTAGGTAATGGTCTGAAGAAACCCATCCCTTATTCTTGCGACGGCCTGAACCAACAGGGACGGTCCTCATGGATCCACCAGCAGTCCAATACCTCTGACAGTTTCTACAGAAGTGACGTGGCTGGTTAACGTTGTAGTTGTTGAAGTAACAGAATTTGGTGTTTGCGCTGTTGCATCTCGGACATGGAAGAATCTTGTCTGGTTTCTTCAAGTCAGTTGTTTTCTCTTCCGATGTAGTTGTTGTAATCTCGCTGTGTTGGTCTTCACTGTTCTCAGATGTTTCTTTCGACTCGTTGTTACGATCTGATGATATCTTAAGACTTGTATCCTCAGTAGCAGATTGGTCGTTCATCTGAAAAATTTGGAGGAAACAAAATTAATATTCAAACATCACGAACTAGTTTAAAAAACATATCAAGACTAGAGAAAAAGATTCTTGAAACATACCATGTGTGGTTGAAGTGATGGAGATGAAGAAGAAGATGAGGAAGAATCGGGAAGAACAGGGGACGAAGAAGAGAGTGGATCATGAGAAACCGAAGTGATTGTCCAGCCGAACAGTTTAACCGGAGTATCTCTCACTTCAGACATACCAATCGTTGAAGACATAAAAGAAAGATGAAGGAGAGATTAGATTTTGATGTTATGTGTGTGTTTATTCTTTATTTGAGGTCGTGAGAGAAGACTATGTATAAGAGAGGCTGAGGTTGGTATTAAATTAATAATGGAACGCAGAGAGCCACAAGACACAAAGAGAGAAAATTACACGTAAGAAGAGACAGGGACATGTAGAGATGAGAGAGCCACATGCTGTTGCGAAAAAGTGGGCTTTTTGTTATCTCTTTTTCTCATTGCTCTTTTTGATCTCTCTTTCAGTGCCACTCAAAAGATTTGCCTCCCTTTATTTTTTGCCACGTCAAATTTTGTTTGGCCATTAATATGTGACACTTTATTTTTTTTTGGAATATTCGTATTAGAAAATATAACAGTGCAAAAAAAAAGGCCAGCTGTACAATTCACGATTTAAAATGTGGTTTTATATAGTTCTGAATTTATTTTGTTTTTTTTTTCGTGTGAGTAATGCACTTATTTAGTAGTATCACATACGTTATAGCTCTGTATATGCTTGAATCAAGTCAATGATGGAGTTTAATTGGGTAATTAATACTTAATACCAAATAATACTAATTTTGAGCAATTATTTTAATAAATATGTGAAATATTTTTGAGCTCTTTTTCCTTTGAATTTCCGAATATATTACAAATTAGATTGTGGGCGAGGTAATATACTTATATGATGATCAAGTGTTGGTTCGAAAATAAAACTATGGAGTAGATCCCACCTAACACAATCCATAACTTAATAAGTTGAAACTTACATGGTTCATAAGATAACCAAAGTCATTTGTTGAGTCAACCCATAAAACCAATTAGTATGATAGTTTTAATAGACAATATTATAAATATATGATTTACTTTGATAATAAGCAAATTCTCTTATTAAACTATGATATTAATAAAAACATAATAAACTTTAAATTAGAATTATACCAATAATCATTCGCTACTATAAATATCAATTTTTATGATCGTTATGAATAATTGGATATATACCTATTGAAGAAAGAAATTGCCAATTAAATGACAAAATCAGAGTTTGGTAGGCAAAAAAATAGAAAACTCCATGGATTTTTACCATTTTTTGCCAAAGAATAACAACGATTTAGAAATCAGTAAATAACTTTTAATTAAATTATAGTATGCTCGTACTTGTTTATCATACGTATCAACGATTACATATATTTCAATAAACTTTTTGTTTTTGTTTCATACTGATCAGCGATTACATATATTTCAATAAACTTTTTGTTTTTGTTTTTGGTAGTGTATATATTTCAATCAACTTAACTGTGTTTTCAATTGCATATAGTTAAGCATATGCATGTATATGAATTACATGTGAAATATAATGAGGCGTCATAATAAGAGGAGACCAAAAGTTGACGTCTATATGTAGTATGATTGAGCTTTAAAATAAGTAGGTTTCCCCATTATACAATGATATTATAATTAAATAAGCACATTAAAAATTAGAAAAAATGAGAAGAGTATATAATTTATTTATTATATATATAAATATTAAAGTAATATTAAAAGACAGAGCTTTATAGGCGAACAATATAAAAATATAATTTAACCATTTTTATTGCCAAAAGTACTACTCGGTAACAAAATAATTAATGATTTAGAAAACATCATAATAAATTTTAATTAATATGCATTAATGCATGTAATTAAATAATTATTAATGAACATGATTATATTTAGTAGTCAATACATTGCTATAAGTTATAAACTAAAGTTTAATTTTCACAAAAGATAGCAAATATCTTTTGCAGTACAAAAAGAGATTAAATGTATTTCATCTATAAATGTTGATTTACAAAAAGAGTAATGTATATTATTTCACAAGCCCTTTAAACTAAAACCACACACATATATGGGTCTTTCAACAAAGAATCAAATTTTCATTTTCATGCGAATCTTGTTTATTATTTTTGTTCTCAAAACGTCGGCATCATTAGAAACCCATTTGTCCACAGATGGACTCATACCATTCGCAGCTAAACATGTTATTATCATCAACAAACTGGTCACGCAAGCAACGCTGATTGTGCATTGTAGAAACAAAGGGGACGATTTAGGAGTAATCAAACTTAACTGGAAAGCTAGTTTTGATTTCAGGTTTCGGGTCAATCTTCGTAAAACAACAACGTATACTTGCAGTTTCAAGTGGCCAAACAATACAGCAACATTTGATATTTTTAGAGCAGATAGAGACGATAATCCAAAAAGTAAATATGGAGTTTGCAAAGAATGTATTTGGAGCATTTATGAGCCAGCCCCTTGTCGTGATAAACGGGATGGAGGTCAACCTCAGTGTTTCCCATGGAAGTCGTAGTCGATTAAGAGTATATGTATTCCATTTGAGTTAGAATAGTTGGTGTTTGAGTCTGTGATTACTTATTTGTTAGTTTTCCTTAGAATGACAGAAGTATAATTGGTTGTCACGGAGTTTCTCAAAAAAATACATTTATTAATTGGTTATTGACTCCAAAACTTAAGACATTGATTTTATATAAAAGGCAACAAAAAAAAAGTTTTGACTAATTAAACTAAATATGGCTAGAGAAAAAAACATATTAAATAAAGATAACAGACAAAATTTTCATTAGATTATAGTACAAACCTTATTTAAGCTATCTTACCTTAATTCCCAAAAAGAAATGAGAGTTTTATTTTATTTTGTATGCTAGTAACTAATCACTAATATACATATGTTTACTTGAAAATGCATCATTTTAAGTTATAAACTTATAACCAACAGATTTTCACATCTTTTTTTTTAATTGACATATTTCAGATTCTTTTAAATATGACTAATTAAAGGGTATGATACCTTTTTTTATTTGAAGAAGATAATATTTCACAAAAGTTTTTAATTCATAAATACCACTTTACGGAAAATACAAATTATATTACAAACCAGCAAAATACATCCATGGTTTCCTCAACAAATCACCTGCTAATCACATTTCTAGTTATCTTCAATACGTGCTTCGCGTTTGGAAACTTGTCATTTGTCGATGGAGGGTTCCTATTCTCACCAAAACATGTTGTGATCTACAACACATTGAACTCACATGAAGGATTAGTCGTGCACTGTAGGAATAAAGGGAAAGATTTGACGTTTCCTGCGATCCAATCTCAACAAAGTGTAGGTTTCAAGTTTCATGTCAATCTACGCAGAACAACAACATACACTTGCACATTTACTTGGTTAGGAAATGTGAAGACGTTTGATATTTTTAGAGTAGATAGAGACGATAGTTCAAAAAGTAAATGTGGAATATGTAGAGAATGTATTTGGTATATAAATGAGTCAGGTCCATGTCGTGCTAGACGCGATGGAGGGACTCCTTACTGTTTTCAATGGCCATCTTAATCATCTTAAAATATTTATGGTATTTTATCTTTCATTTTGTTGTATTTTGATAGTTACAAATTAAATAGACATATATAATCTGCTTAAAATTGTTGTCACTAACCATGACTGGATCAACGTTGAGGTCATTTATAGGCCAAGTATATATAGTTTCATAAGCGTAAAGTTCTATTACTTTAACTATCGTATATGGTATATGATCGGTTCACTTTTATTTGCGTGGACGGCTTTAAATTAAAATAAGGTAGGGATGGTTTCTTATTTTAGAAGATTATTGATAATGTTATTGTCGAGTAAAGTTATTCATGGGTAGATTCTTTGATTCTTCCAATCCTTACATTCTGCAAAAGATCATATCCAAACATAATTAACATGGTTTTTTCTTCATGTTTTGATAAAAACAAATTATTTTTCTATTATACAATTTGTCTCGCTTCATCAACTTAAAAAATGAAATGGTAAAGATGATTTTGTTTTAATTTTCTTGTGAAGATTATTTTTCTATATAACAATTTGTCTCGCTTCATCGACTTAAAAAAAAAAAATGGTGAAGATGATTTTAATTTTAATTTTATTGTCCTTGGAATTGGATAGATTAAAAAAAAAAAACCATCTTCACCTCTTGTGTCTCGTCTATCTTATAAAAGAAAATTTGAGAGATCTTATACTTTTTACTTTCAATAATACAAATTAAATTTTAAAACAATAAATATAAATTTTATTTCATCTCGGCTAGCCACTTCAAAATATAAATTTGCTATATGATGACCATCATAATTCACATAACCTTTGTCAGATTATTATTAAAGAACAAAAGATTTTCACATCCTTTTACCCACCAAATGATTTATTATCATGATATAATAAATGTTTTGGTTATGTATAAATACATCTTGCAAAACAAAACAAAACAAAAAAAAAATTGGTGACAACCCCTTCTTTAATCCATCCATGGCTTTCTCAAAAAATAACCACTTCAAGTTTGTGCTTCTCATATTCCTATATAGCCTAAAAAAATCTTCATCTTTTGGTAACCATTCGTCCATCGATGGACTTTTGCTGTTTGCGCCTAAACATGTCACCATCTTTAACACATTGGCCACACGTGCAAAACTGGTCGTACATTGCATGAATAAAAAGAAAGATTTAGGGATAAAAGAGCTTCCAATTGGAGCTAGTTTTGATTTCAGGTTTCGTGTCAATTTTCGTAAAACGATAACGTATAATTGCAGTTTCGAATGGCCCGAGAGAGAAGAGACATTTGATATCTTTAGAGCAGATAGAGATGACAATGAAACAAGTCCATACGGAGTATGTAGAGAGTGTATTTGGTACATTTTTGAATCAGCCCCTTGTCGTGGTAAACGTGACGGAGGCCGTTCTATATGCTTTTCATGGGATTGATGGAGGTTCTTTTATATATTTTTATGGTATTTTACTTGCCTTATAATATAACAGTAATAACATACGCATATTAAGTGGTTGTTATTACTATCATATTAACAGTAATCACATACGCATATTAAATTGATACTATATCTTTTGATGATAGATTAAATTTCTTGTATACCTTTAATTAAGTCTATAAATTTTGATATGTTGGTTACGATTGTTTTGTTGGCGTATTTTTTTCACATGTTATAATATAGTCTATGGAAATTTCAAAATATGAATCAAATGTAAAGAGTATGGAAATGGGTGTTGCAGAGTTGAGGTGGAAAAATGTGCATGGATTAACATTTTATTGATATACTGTACAATTTTGCAGCATTTAGAACTAATTGAGCAAACCTAAGTGTTACACAAATTTTACGTAATGTGTAGTGGTTTACATAGAAAATATTAGGGAACGTACGTACAATGTTTAGAAACCCCTGAAAAGCAAAAGGTGAAGACATATATAACTATTTCTAAGGTTTGTTCTAATTGGGATGAAGATTTTGAGGCCTTTTTGGAGGATGGCTAGTAAGACCTACAACCCTATTTCCGTGTAATATCACTCTTGACTGTTACTACAAAACATGGATAATGAAATGAATCAGAAAGGTAAAGGACCTAACCTGAGGTTAAGATTGAATTGTGAGCTTCATCCGTAAATTCTGTTACCATCTTCTCCGTCCTCTAACATTTGCTTTATGTGGTTCTAGAGGCGATGCCTAAGGGTTTGGTGATCAGGATTATGAAGAGGAATTATTCATCACAGGTTCACATCTTCGCTCCCCTCTAATGACAATACTGTCATCTTCTTTCCTCCATATTTCGCATTGGAAGAGTCTTGAGACTCCTAGTCTGGCTTATGGAGAAGAATCTATCTTTTGTCCCAAACCAACTATTTTTACTCTGCAAAAGCCAACTTTTCATGCATAGTCAAAAACAACAACGAGAAGATCTATTATAGCCGTTTATCTCAGTAATTTAATATATGTTTAACAATTTGTAAAAAGTGAGAAGACATTAACAGATCAAGAATTCTTATTGAAAAATAAGAGTTCTTATAAGAGATATCAATTATAACTAAAAATTGTTAAATGACAAGAAACATAGTTTTATTGAAAAACTTTTACTATCTTATAAAGGACAATTTGAGAGATCTTATTTCTTATATTTTTTTACTTTATAAAATACTAATTAAATAAAGAACAATAAAATAGCCTTTAGTTCGAGTGTTTAGCAATTAATTAATTAATAATTTCAGATTTTTTTTTTAAAGAACAACAGATATTCACATCCTGTACCCACCCAATGACTCAATATATAATAACTGTTTCCATCTATATATACTTCTTACAAAACAAAGAAAAATCTTTTATTCCTTTTCACAAACCCTTTTTAATCCATCGATGGCTTCCTCAACAAATAACCACCTAACTTTCCTTGTTCTCTTGTTCCTATTTCTCCTACAAAAATCTCCATCTTTAGCAACTCATTTGTCCATCGATGGGCTTTTGCCGTTCGCGCCTAAGCATGTCACGATCTTTAACAAATTGACCACACGAGGAACATTGGTCGCACATTGCATGAATAAAGAGACAGATTTGGGGATAAGAAAGCTTCCAAGTGGAGGCAGTTTTGCTTTCAGGTTTCATGTCAATCTTCGTAGAACGACAACTTATAATTGCACTTTCGAATGGCCTGGGAATAGAGTGACATTTGATATTTTTAGGGCAGATAGAGATGATAGTGAAAGAAGTCCATTTGGTGTATGTAGAGAATGTATTTGGTACATTTATGAACCAGCACCTTGTCGTGAAAAACGTGATGGAACCCATTCTATATGCTTTTCATGGGATTGATGGAGGCTCTCATCCTTTATTATAGTAATAAAATAAGCATATTAACTTGTTGATACTGAATTATTACATAATTGTTACTATAACATGTGATGAAAGATTGATTTTCTTGTATATAACATTTTGAGTCATTTAGCTACGATTGTTTTGTTGACGTTTTATTACATGCTATAGTATATAGCATAGGGAAATTCTAGAAAATGCATCAAAGGAGAAGAGTATGGAAATGGGGTTGTCTAGTTGAGGTGGAGAAATGTGCACAAACCTTAGTGTTACAAACGTTACACAAATATTCCAAACCACTTCAAGTCCAAGAAGAAAACGTTACATAATCAAATAATTAATTATATATAAAAAAGTGGTTACTAGTGGCAGCTGCCATCCGCCCCTGTCGTAAAAGATGATCAACCTAATGAGTAATAATCATCAAAGAAGAAAAGAGTACTCTGTTTTCATATCTTAGATTCAGCTTTCTTGAATTCATTTTAATTGTTTTCATAAAACAGAAACTTGGAGATCGAACCAGAATGGAGTTAAACGCAGAGGAAGTGATGAAGCAAAAGAAGACATGGTGAGACGACGCCTTTTGCATGGAACAACCTGTTCGGAAGAGAGGTTTTAAAAGTCACAAGGGTGAAAAAGAAAGACTTGGGACTGGGTTTGAATAGTTTCAGTGGCATGTAAACGTGTTCCCAAATAAAGGATTAGGCTTAAACTACAAAACCTGACTTGTCTTGTGTGTAGTAGATTTTATGAGTGAGTATGTGAATATTTTGATGCATACCTAAATTTCGACGGTGACAATAGAATGCGAAGAGGAGTAAACGATGCCGCATCACTAATAATAGTTTCTCTAATACTAATCGCTATATGTGGTCCAATATTCAAACTTTTTTATTTGTTGTAAATATCAAATACTGAAACTTTATAGCCACAAAATGTAAACTATACTATTCTACTGCATAGAAGAATCTTCAGAGGAAAATAAGTCTCGCAAGTGAAAATTAAAAGATTTCTTGAAAATCCTTAACTTTTTAATACATGAATTCGAGAAATGAAAAAGAAAAAAAACAACGGAGATGATTAAAAGAGAACAACAACCAAAGATCTCTCCTAGCTTTCATGGGAAAAGAAAAAAACAAACCGATCATCAACTTTTCCCAAATACCAAAAAAGGACAAAAAAAACCAAAGCACAAGTTTTTACAAAAAGCTTTTTATGTAACCCTAGTACTCAGACTCAACTGTGCCATTAGATTCAATGGTGGTGTTACCTCCATTGTCACTGCTTCCACTGTCCTGACCAGAAGAATCTCTGACTCTCCGACCATCGTTGAAACTAAACCTAACCCAAACCTCTCCTCCGTCGTTTCTTTTCTTCCCAACTTCATCTCCATCAACAGGCATCTCGTACCTACAAACAGGACACGACCCATGAAACCCTAACCATTTCTCTATACATCCACCATGAAACCTATGCTTACACGGCATCTCCTTCACAGTCTCCTCGGACTTCCACTCCTCCAAACAGATCACACACTCTCCTTCACATCCGTCGATCTCCACAACAGGCATCGCTTCGATGGAAGCCTTGGACGCTGGAGGACGACCTTCCTCACGTGACTCCAGTAAGTTACGAAGCAGAGGATTCAATCCCGACGAGCCTTCGAGCACGACCATCCCTTGCGTAAAAGGGTTGACTAAAATGATTCTCTCACGCGACGAAGCAACACCACCATCATCATCATCATCATCGCGGTTTGATGGTTCTTGATCGGAGAAGCCTAAGAGAAAAGGCAAGAAGAGATATAAATCTCTGTTCCTCAAAAACCTTCCGGAAACAGAGGATGTCTCTGTTCCAACCTCAGCTTCTTGTTCTGTCGCCATCGCAAACAAAGATTGATTCTCTACAGTAAGATGGCGTCTCAAGATTTTAAGAGAGTTGCAAATGAACGTTGCGGAAAGATCTAGAAAACTATTAACGAGTAGAATTTTCTTTCTTCTTTAAATACATTAAAAGTAATTTACTAATGGGACCTAAAATATATTAAGTCTGAAGACAATGATTGATCTTATCGATATGTTTATCCATTAGCAGAGATACCTACGTCACATTTTTATCTGACTCAAAAACATTATGATTTCTCTATATTCTCCTTAAACCTTGAGGGTATACTTCAAAGACGTCGAAGGGTGTTTCTGGAATTTTGAGATCAACAACATTGGAGGCTGTCATGTGTCTCTCTATAGTGGACTACACGAGGCTTATGTGAAGAGTAAGCAACAACAACAATTGATTCATATGAAGAAATTGCAAAAGCATTAAATATTCTCTTATGATATCTATACCCACCATCGAATTAAACCAATACTAGTTGGAAAATTTAGTACATCTTAGTGAAACAAGTACTGTAATATACATACCTAATCTAAAACTGCAAATCTAGTCTACTTGTACAACAAACAAAGGACATTTGTGACTAAAGAATCAACATATTAAAGGAACACTTTTCTCTTATGTACCTGTGTGGACGCACACGTGAACCACAAAAAGATTTGAAGAATGTGCGTTTGTTTACGTTTTTGGGTTTACCATTCGCGGCAGCAAAGAGAGCGTTTGGTTTCTTGGTATTTACGCCAGAGGCAAGTCATTTCAGCGGGGGTTTGGTAATGAGCAACAACATAGCCGTCCTTGCATCCATCACTAATGATCCTTCCATCGTTTTCGTAATGAGGCTCGAGGCCATGTTTCGTCAGCTCAGCTATCCATATTCCCATTGCCACGTCTTCTAGCTTAAACATCTATATACAAATTTCCAAGATTTTCACATTCCATTTCTATGTGAATTCGGAAAGGTGTTTATATGGACCTAACTTAGAGTAGTACTACCTTTAGGTTTCCTTCTTTGAAAAGCTTACCAACCGATTCTGCTATGTCCCGGGACACAATGTAGCCTGGACCATGTGCCCATGGGGGGTATTTCTCTTCTGGCCATTCCTGTTTTTTTCAAGTAGGAACTTCGTTAAATGAATCAGAATCAGTCGATTGGCTTACGTTGCCAAATCAGATTGTGTTCTACCTCATAACTGATGTACCATTTGCTATCGGGGTTTCGAATAGGTTGAGAGTCAGAATTGATCAGTCCATATATTAACCCCCGCGTGTTGTTGGTCATTGATAAAGAAAGTAGTACTTCATCTACACGAACAAAGGCGTCATCATCCGTTTTCATGATGAACTTGGCTGAGTCAACCTCTGTCTATTTAAAATATGTAGTTAGTGAGGCAAAACGGTAAAGACAACTCAACTGCGTCTAGGAGGAGATATGAAAAAAGAAAATTATTACCCCGAAGATGCAGATGGCTAGTGTTTTCCAACTGATGAGACTGTAATAATCAACAAAAGGCATTAGCTGAACATCACCGTAAGTCCTAGCCTCATTCCAGAGTTCCAGGTTGACAAGAGGACTTTTGTGCTTCATTATCAACACCAAAGCAAATCATGATTAAGAATTAGGCAATTCCAGCATACACCAGATAATCTTCAGAGATGGAAGAAAAGCTTACAAGGCCAACAAAAAAGCGTACTGCAACTCTTCCAGATCTTACATCATCATATTGCATCCATGTTCTTCTCACAGCCATACGTCTTTTAAAATTGTTTGCAGTGGAGAAAACACCAATAACGAGATCTAGTGGCCTTAATGATGAAAGGGGAGGTGCTTTTAATGCCTCTACATCAACAACATGCTCTGATTCTTCAGAGGTCGGCAAACCGCTGGCAAGAATGGATATCAACCTAAAGTCACCCGTAATACGTACTTCACTAACAAGCCATGGCTCCAGTGTCTGAAGAATGAATGAAAGATGAAGAACCCACATAAGAATCGAAACATTTGATGGAAAAATGCTAAAAGCAGTGAATTATAGAAGAAAAGTGATGATGATGATGATGATATTACATCGCGAAAAGCAAATGAGGTTATATGTTTCCCATCAACTGTCATCTGCATTCCTTCTGTTCCCACCCTAAGTGTAGCAACCGATAAGAAACCCTGCTTGAAAGGAAAGTATCTTTCATGTTTAGATGCTTCACTGGCTACGGGAATGCCCCTTGAAGTGTTGGACTGAAAGCTAGTTGAAGAAGTTCGGTTTATTTCTCTACCAACCATCTTGTTGCATTCATCCAAGTCATCCACTGTGTATTATAATCATATCAACAGGCTTATTCATGGAAGATCAAGTGACTAGATTTATGTAAGCGGGTGAAACTATACTTGCATTCACCTTTCTTATTCATATCAGGATCAAAGTTTGGACAGCGTTCCTCAGCTCCCCAATCACGAGATGCCGTCCAGCTGTTTTGAACAATCACAGGGTCTTCAGTCGACTTGTCACCAAGAAGCCTAACATTATAATGTACAATAATGGGCGGATCAGGCTCCCCAGGAAGCGGTTGTCCTGTTAAATCAATCCGGAAGCTACCAGCAAGACCATCAGGGATGCCAATAACCGTGATGGAGGAACCCTGGGTCAGACCACAAGGAATTTTCAACTTCAGACTACTTCCATCAGCTTCAGTTGCATTCATTTTGCTAAGAAACTGAGGACAAAGCTCCTCTTTCCCTTTCCTTGTTTGATTTTTATTTACATCAACTAGTTTCTTAGCTTCAACCGCTGCCACAAGATTCTCCCAAACAATGCCAGCTTCCTTAATAGCATCAACTCCATTAACTAAGTTCTGCGCATTATCAACCAGACTTTCTAAACGGTTCCAAGTAAGCAGAGGCTCTCTCTCTTCTCTAGACACGTTCTGCTCAACAAATAAACCCGAGACAACAGCGATATCGTCACCAGATATAGCGTCTTGAGTGTTCCTCGCTTCTTTCATGAAGTCAGGGAGTGTAATTCGCAGCCATTCCATAGGAAGAGTGGTGTTAGGAGTAACAGCAACAGAAGAAACAGAAATATAAGGCTTTTCAACAGGAGTATTCAAATCCACATATCGATACACCGTAAAGAACATACACATTGATACAACAAGAAGCCCTCCATAAAATCTCTTCATTTTCTCAGCCCAAAATCAAGTAGCAGCAATAGGAGATATAGAAACTCCAAGATTGTACTCAAAACCATAAATCCGTGAGCGAGATCATCAAGATTCAACCTATAGAGTAAAATGTCACTACGTTTAACTTCAATCAATCCCTGAAACACACAAAAAGATGGTTTTTGATCATTAACAATACATACAAAATTCGCAGGACAAGCCAATTCAGTTTCCAAATTATTCTCAAATTAACTATTAATTCAACAGCTCACAAGATCCAACAACATCAAAGCTTATCTATAACAAGAAGAACAAAAAATCAGATTTTTCAGGTGGCCTGGGAAAATTGAAACTCAACAGAATCCCAAAAGACTTAGTCTTGGGAACTTGAAGCAATATAAAATCAGTAGATACGATCAAATCAGTAATGCCCAGAACCTTAAGTTTCTCACTTGCATAGAAGAACTTACTAAATCAACTACAAAGATAACAAAAATCAAACTCACAAATGCAACAAAAGGAAATCTGCTTACAGGCCAACGCAAAACAGAAATCAAGCAATGTCGTTCCGGAATCAGAATCCGATACACCGGAGAGATATGTCGAGTAAAATGGGATTCAGATCTCTGACGAGCGGTTTACTTGTTTGCTCTGTATCTTAATATCTAAGCACAGTCCAACAGCAGAGAAAGCGATGGTGTTTTTTCTTCCTTTAAAGAAAAAAAAAAAACCCAAAAACATAACGCAAATGGTGAAAGGTTAAAAAGTAAAAACAAACAAAAGAAGTGGCCAGTAATTTTGTATCTTGACAAAAGAAGAATTTTTTTTTTAAATAGCCAACGAAATTATAGTGAGAATAGCCAACGAATTTTTTTGTCTTCTTTTGTCAAGATAAATCATTATATTTTTGTTATGCCTATTAGATGCATCATTATATATAAAAAGTTACATTTGATGCAAAAACTAAAGTAAATGGTACCAAAAAAAAAAAAGTGTAAAAAATTGGCAAGCAAAACTTCAAAGGGTAAAGTAAGTTTAAAAGTCGTGATAGCGTGAGAGATATGAAGGTGCTTTCATTTGTAACGCACCACCATACACATACATACCAGTCAATAATTTGACACTCCAATACTTTTGATTTCCCATATTTGCCTTTTTCTATTCATGGTTGGATCGGACTGTAGTTTTCACGTTGGTGTTTTTGTTTTTGGTTTAGTTTACATTAAGACTCAAAGCTAACCACCACTCAAGATGACTTTGCAAACACACAATCTTAGTTAAAATTAATCACGATGATTAAAATCATGTACCAAGAAACGAGTTATCGTCAATGTATATCTATGTGTGCCAATAGTTTAGCTTTGATAAATGTCAGTACGCATTTCGAATTCAATTTAAAGTATTGAAATTATGTCGTTCTTTCACTAAATTGTTGAAAAATGTATGATATTGCCTCTAAAGTTTCACTCCCATTACTTTGAATAAACATTATGAGGGTGCTTTCATCTGTAACCATACATATTACATATTTAACATACCAGTCATAATAAACACCTCAAAATATGTGATTCCTACTTTTGCTTCAAAATTTTTATTTGCTCTTTTTCCATGGTTGGATAGCTTTCTTGGAGGAAGCTCATAATGATATTTATACCTTTGATTAAAAATCAAAAAATGCTCTTAACACTAACGACAATGTGATGTAAGTTCTTACAAAAACATGTCATTTTCTGTAAAATGTCTTCTCAATTAATAGTAAAGATGCTTTGGAGGAAGCTTACCGGTTTCAAATCCACCAGTGAAGATACTAGAGTAGTTGAAGATGTATTTTGGTCTTTGGATATGAAATCAGTTTTGAATTAATATATTAAAGGGTACCATCCAATTATATGTGATTTATTTTACAAATAAATGATGCAAGAAAAACAAATAAAATCAATAGGTAGAATGTTTTTTTTTTTTGTAAATTAATAAAAAAATATCAGCCGTAAAAATTAGAATTTGGGAAATTGAACTCTAGAGTCGCATCGACCATGTGGCATAACAGGACAGTTGATGAATTTAGAGGCCGAAGTATCAACGCATAGATAAATCTGATAGAGTTGGCTATTATGTGACGAGTCTTTGTTACATTCAATGCCCGGAGCAAATCCAGTAGCTTCCTTTATCGTTTTCTCGATCTCTTTTATTTCGTAAAATTTATCATCCGGTTTGATCCCTAAATCATGGGAAAACAACATATATATAACAAGCAAAGAAAAACCAAATGCACGTAACTAATAGTATAGATAAATTCTAGGGGCAAAAGAAGTGAATGGTGTACCAGCATTGGTGAGGGCGTGAAGGAGATTAGCTTTTTGTTTGAGTTTGAGACCGGCTTCGAAGTAATCGTGTTGGTCAAGCTCGGACTCAGCGCAAGTGCCGTGTTTCTCCCACTCGTGTGTCCAAAACTTCATACCATCATTGCTTGGACACGACAACGTTGGCCATTCTCTTTGTAACTCGCTCATCAGATCAGACACCTTCATTTGTTTTCAATTCTCATTAGTTGTTTACAAAACAAAATTCTTGTAATTTTTTTTTGTGATATCTAGATAAGAAACTTACAATGATCTTAAAATATTATCTTCTTTTTCTTTTTGAAAAACAAAATATTATCTTTTTAATTGATTTTGTTTGTATGAAAGAAAATTATTGTGTTTATAAGCTAAAAAACGAACCCGTAAGTCATCAAATTGACTGTCAGGATTACAGTTTTGCGGCCATCCACCGGTTTTGTAGTTAGGCCAAAGACCGTGAATTCCAAAATCGGCAGCTGGTTTACCGGTTTTTGGATAGCAACAGCTATGTCTTGAATCACAATACGCTCCAGGCCACTGCATTATTGCAAGGCACATACTCGTATAAACATTGTATAGGTATAATGATACTTCTTGTAGATACATATGTGTATTATAACTTTACCTGTAAAACGAAGTAGAAGAAATCGAAATCTTGGGCGACACTTTGCACGTAGAGTTGTTGTAATGCTAGAATACAAATGAAGAATTTCATTTCCTCAAGATATTTAAAAGTTGAAAAACCAAATCGTTTGTGGGAATCAAAATAGTCGAAAACCCAATATAAGATGGATAAGAGAAGACTGGTTTAGGTTGCTTTTGTTTATATAAGTCATATAACGTGACGTGTGATAATTTCTTTTGGGTAGAGGGACTTAACGTGTGATTGAGATTCGTATGTGAATGCTTAGTTGTATTAGGTTAGTATTTCGTGCAAGCATTTCTTTTGGATGTAATAACGTAAGGCAAACTTTTCATCATGCTTTAGCTATAAAATAAGCGATTTAATACATGTATAAAATAAAGTTTTCATCATGTATTCATGAGTCTTCAGCTATACATTTCTTTTTCTAATTAACAACTCAGAATTCAGAATTATATTCACATAGCAATCCCTTAAAGACCTTTGTTTCTTAAATTCCAAATAATTAAGTCATTTATAGACCCTTGTTCAATCAAAGATTCATACGACTAACCATTGTCCCGTCTCGGAAACGTCAAGGTTCTTGGTGCGGCGGCACATGTTGGCTAATTGAGAATGATCCATTGGGTTAACCTTTAAGGACAAAGGTGGAGATTGTTATAAAGTTTCGAAGAGAGTAGACGAAAGGAGTTGGGAATCTATGCCTAGGATTTCAACATCATCTCGGCTTATGCTCCCCGCTCAAATAAAAAGGAGGTTTAACGGAAAACTTTTGCCTTGATATTGTTACCAATCTATATGTTTTAACTAATCAAGCTATCATTTAATAATTTATTTAACTTTTAGGTTGTGAGTTGTGACTTTTGGGTTTACTATTTAATCATTTTATATTATTTGTATGTGTTTGTGTAAAATCTAATAATTGACAAGCCAAAATTTATAAGTTAAGGATTCAATTTTTTTGCATTAGAGATAAAGAAAATAAACAGAAATAAAGTAAAAAGAGCTTTCTGGTCCGCCAAGTTGATTAATAGCATCAATAAATCTGTTTTGAAGCTCATAGTTCCATCTCAGCCTTAGTTTAAAGTTCTTTACATTATGGTGCTCACAATTATCCATGTCTAGCTTGTAGTAACAATCACATATTTTGTTACTTTTTGAACCCTTTATTGCTCAACCACATTAATCCATCAAAAAATTTGGTGCATTGCGCCTAATACCACCAACAAAGCGAAGGGACATATTCAGAACATGATTCACCACATGCACAGAGAAAAATAGCAGCAAAGCCTATTAGCTAGATCAAAAACAGAGTTATTAAAAGTTCAAAAACCATCTACAAAAAACTAATCAAAATTCAGAGAGTACCTAAAATCTCATGGCATCGGATATTCCAAAATCTTCTCTAGGAGATTGTCTACTATTTATTCTGGCATATTGTACAAAGATAATTTAAAAACAAAAAGCAATATAAGGCACCAACATATGAGAACAAACATGATTAAAAATATCCATTTATGTTCAATTAAACTACCACATTAACCTTTTTCCTTATTATTTTGATCAAGATGCACAATATTTCAACAAAACACGCTTAATACATCGTAGAAAAGCATATATAGCATAATCAATTTATTAATTTTAATGAGAATAGGTTAAATCATTTAAGTAAGCACAAAGTGAGTACAAAAATCATAGAAGTATTGTAAAACCAAATGAGAAATTCATGAAGTTTGTAAATATCATATCATATGCAGAAATATCCCAAATCATATAAGAAATTTTTGCAAATCATTAAGCAAAAAGTCATTAGAGATCCCTCAATATTAAAACGTCATTATTCACATAGAAATAACATTAGTTATACCTACACAAGCTTTTGTATTCACCTATCATCGTGAGAATGTTGTTGATTCCAAAATTAACAACTTTTTTTTTCTCTTAAAAAATAACATAATTCTCCTTTGTATCAACAATATTAATAAATCCACATATTATTGAAACTTGTTAAACAAATACTCAAAAAATGCTACAAGAATAGTTGAGTCCAACTTTTTTTTTATTTTTGTGTGGTCAAAATAAGATGTGGAAGACTGGCCCAAATTATGAGATACAAAATTAATTGTCCTAAGAATTGGGAAAAATGAAAAAAATGCTGCAAGGAGGATTCAAACTGCAACCTTGAACTCTATCTAAGATGGATTAAACCGCTGAACTAAACAAACTTTTATGGTTTTAATCATGATATCTAAAGCTGTTTTTTGTTAATCAATCTAAAGTCTAAACGCTAAGGATACAACGATATCACATGTACATGATATTACTGATATCATATAATCATAAGATGCCAAATAGAGAGCTTGCAATTACATATAATTAAAAAATAATAGATTAGTCGTTATTTGGGCCTTAACTGGACCAATAATAAAATACAAAAATGAGAAAAGAGGCCCAAATAGAGTTTAGGGTTTGGAGAGTGTCTCTCCCTTATATTCCTTACGAAATCCCCTGAGAAAAGAGAGAAAAAGAGGCGAAAATGGTGCAGCGTCTTGTTTACCGGTCGCGACACAGCTACGCCACCAAATCGAACCAGCACCGTATCGTCAAGACTCCAGGTCCCTCTCTTCTTCCTCTTTTAGATTTTGTTTTCAATTCCCCTATGCTTCATTTCGTAACCAGTGATCTGTTCATGAGTGTGTAATGTGTCTCTACTGTATTGTTTCTTGCAGGAGGTAAATTGGTGTACCAAACCACTAAGAAGAGAGCTAGTGGCCCCAAATGCCCTGTTACTGGCAAGCGTATTCAAGGAGTAAGTCTTCTTCTTTCGATTTTGGCTTCGTGTGATTTGGTATCACATGGAATCTTCTGATACTTTAGAATCCTAGATTTGAGGTTTAGGTATAGTTAGGTTTATGATTTTGGAGGAATTTACAACTTGATTTAAGGGCTATATAAAACAGAATCAATCGGATTGAATGTTGTTTAGTTGTATTGTTTAATGGGCATGTTGTGCTTATTGACGGTCTTGTGCTGATTAGATGAACTCCCACATCAGTACATAACATATATCATAAGCTAAATTTGTTGGTGCCACTTTGTCTTTCAAGTTGTTCCTCCTTTTACATAAGGGATTGCTATCCACCTGTGGCGGAAATTATTCAATTTTCCTCAAAGATTGTTTTGTGTGATTTTGTTATGTACTTATAACTATGTTGTATATTTTGTGAATGACATTATCTGTTTATCTCAGATTCCTCACTTGAGGCCTTCTGAATACAAGAGGTCAAGATTATCGAGAAACAGGAGGACTGTGAACCGTGCATATGGTGGAGTCTTGTCTGGTTCTGCAGTCAGGGAAAGGTTTGTTGTTGTCCAAATCTTTCTATTACATAACTTTGGAATCGTTAAACTCAATGGTGTTTTTTCTATGGCAACAGGATTATTCGGGCATTCCTTGTTGAAGAGCAAAAGATTGTGAAGAAAGTGTTGAAACTCCAAAAGGCTAAGGAGAAAGTAGCCCCCAAGGCTTAAGCTTATGGCTATGCTCAAGTTATAGGACTTGGTGCGTTTATGTTTTGTTCTTCTCTGTCGACAATTATCTTCCCTTCAGTTTTGATTTCCCGTTTAATTGTTGAATCCACCTTTATTGTTCGACTGTTAAACAGATCTTGGTTAATATATAATTTTAATCTTTTGGACACAAAATTGATCTTGCACTTTAATTATATGTTATAACTATGAAAATGCAATATAGAGTCTGAATTTTAACAATGTTCCAATTTCTTGCTCCAATGAACGTCCATATAAAATCAGCTCGAAATACTACTTTTTGGCATCTACACAACAACAGTTTTTCTTTGGTTCGGTTTGATTTAGCTAACAAGTCTTCACTAAGGCAAAACCTACACTTGTAAGCAGAAAATGGTTTCTGTAATAAAGAAAACAGAGGAAGCAAAATTCAAAACGTTCTAATTTCCTTACATTAGTGAAAGAAAAGAGCCAAAAAGGGAACACCCTGGCTTGAAAAAGGCAAGCCAAGAAGGTAGAGAAAGACTGCTAATTATCCACATCCATCAAGTTGTGGAGAAACAAGCTGGCAAATCACCACTAATGGACGATAAAGATGAATAATAACTCTCCAGCAACGTCATGTTCTGTTTCAGGCCTTGATGATGCTGATGATTCTCATCAGGTGTTGAAGTGAAAACATCATACCGAAGTGTGTCACAATGACCATGATGATCTTCATTGGAACCACGCATGTTCTTCATTATGCCATTTCCTTCGAATCCCTTCTCTTGAAACTCCTGTGGTAGGCTTACAAGCGCAGGACATTCCTCTTGTGCCAACACCGCGCTGAGATCGATATGGCTTGTGTATTCTCCCATTCCCAAGAAGGTCGAATTTGATGACGTGTTTAGCAGAAACGATGGGATTTCGTTAGACAAGGTAGGCCTAGGAAACTGAGGTTGTGTTTCTTGTGTGGAAAGAAAGAGATTTGTTAGGTATTGTTGTTCTAAACATGAAACCGGACTGAAAATGCTGGTGGGTTTGTCGTACGAAGTGAAGTCCAAGTAAGAGAAGGGACTTATAGTAGCAACGGAAGGAGTTGTACTATTACTAGTTTTGGGAGTGTTCATATTCTCATGGTGAAACTGGAAGGGAGAGCTAGTTTTGAGGATCTTGTCTGAAGAGAAATGGTATGTGTTTGATGGCTTTTGGTCGGACATTGTGTCGGAACTTGTCTCTGGTGGTAACGAGGAAACAAAGGAGTGAGAGAGAGCTCTTAGGGTCGTTGTGCTTGTCTTTTTAAAGATTCTGCATATAGCCCATGAATCCTGCAGTAATCCACATTACATTATCAAATGACTGTGTAATGTAATCTATAACAAAATAGTTAATCCAATAATTCCAAAAATTAATATTTTTGGTTTTGTTTATTAACTATTCTACGTTTTGAGAAAAATATTTGATTAAAAAATAATTACTATTATATTGTTTTATAAAATATAGTACGCTAGAAAGAATCAAAAACAATAATTAAAGATTTAAGCTTAAATTCGAAGGGACAGCAGAATAGTCCTAAAATACCTTTATATCTTTGGTCAAAACTGTCTTCTACCGGAAACTTAACACTTCCTTTTTGTTAAACTTATCGATAGAGATATACTAAAACCTTTTAAAATATATATTATATATAGAGTAGATAGTTCAACTCACTAGTTTACAAAAATCTATAAATGCACTAAGTTCGAGATATATATTCACATAAATTATTCACAATAACTTCAAACCAAATCTTGCAAATCTTAATAACTGATATTAGTCTAAGTTGTTGTCGATCCGGAGTAGTTTCAATCCTATTTTTTCTTGAAAGTAAACTATATCTAGAAAAATTACTGATCTAATGTAAGCTTACATTGGGAGAGACAGGAGAGTCGAAGAATCTCTTAGAAGGAGGAGATGGTTCGGAGAGAGAAGGCAAACGAAACTCATGCATCATCCAATCAGTCTTAACTCCTTTTGCAGCTCTTCCTTTGTAGAACACTAAGGACTTCTTTAAACCTATGCATTTGTTTCCCTCCGACGAGTATATAGGCCGGTCTGTTCCCGTAGCTTTCCAGAAACCAGCTCCTGTCACTCGGTTTGGCCTCGAGCTGTTCCGATACTTCCTGTCCCTCGGACAATAAAAGTACCATTCTTTCTCGCCCGTCATCGCAAACTCTACAATGTTTTAACAACAACAAAACAACAACAAAAAGAACTTGTTTAGACTTTATTTTCTTATATGAAAGTAACTTTGTAATATGATAAATTAAAGTAGGAAAATCATATATACTTGGAAGATCCCAGGGGTCGTATTTGTAGATATCAAGCTGTCTTATGAGCTCTATGGAGAGAGGATTGTGTTGAACCTTCCGCTTCAAGTAGAAGCTTACGAGCTCTTCGTCGGTTGGATGAAACCTAAATCCAGGCAACAGCACTTCCTCCATTTTCTGTTCACCGTCGTCGGTTCTCTCTCCCATTATCTCTAAAACCCTAAAAAACAAATAGAGTTAAAAAAGAGAAACCCTAAGTGGAACAAGAATGAGTTTGGTAGAGAAAAGTGGAAGTGAAGTAAGTGAAGTGGTTTAATTAGCTTAAGTTGAAATCAATATATGCTTCCTTGCCAGGGGTCTGAACCCGAAGGATCAGCCGCCATTTCAGCTGAGTTTTTCAAATTTCATTATCTTTTTGAATTAATTTTCCAAGAAAGTTTGTTTGAAGCTTTCTTTGGTTTTACTTATAAAACCATATTTTAAAAATTGGAGCTGAAGGAAAAGTTTATAAACACGAGGACAAGTTCAAAAGAAAATATAACTAAAAACGTAATACGATCGTGCATATGTCTTTCGTATTTCTTCTTATCATGACGAAATATGTGTGTATATATGTAACGATACTTGATCAAAAACAAAATACATATATAACGATACTTTGTTTCGTTTAATTTAGTTAAATGTATATGTTGATACTTACTAACTAATAAAGCATGCATCGCCACTAGTCATTACTGATCATTACTTCTAGAATCAGCGTATAATGATACTATCGTCAGCGTATATGCACTATCATCAATTCATCATATCGTACGTTGACGCACATACACACACGTGCACATGTGTGTATCGTGCCATATGGTGAATAACGAACAGAGACACATTGACGTGCATGAAATCTACGTATCTTTGTGTGTGCTTGATCAATGTATAGTATGTATAATCGTATATATGATCGATCAAGGACAAGACGAATTAAAGACCAATTAAGAAACCGCTTTAATATTGTCGCTTTGGTTTGAAGTCTTTCATTAATAAAGGAAACAAGGGCCGATCGAGGCCAGCTGCCACTACAAAAGATTCGAAATTAAATTCAATGGTGTACTCATTAATATATTGCTAATAATACATTGCCTTCAGGTTTCTAATTAAGATTAAACTACAAAATTTTAAAATGGTTCTCAGAATCCAAGTTTCTTCTATTCCATTCCTCCTCACAGTTTCTATTCCCACTGACCAATGTCAGAAATATAGAAGGGCTTGACCTATAGGGGCAATGACGCTAGTGTAGATTACTACCTTACCCCTTAGTTTGAACTGACTAAAACGTCTGAAAGAATCTTGTTCGTTTTGACCTTTTTGGTAATTTCGGCGTTTCGGATTTTCCAACGAACAAATTCTCAAGTTTGACTCATATTGGTCTTTTTTGTGGTAAGACTTTAAGGAATTAGTTGATGGAGTTCGACTTTTACGTTCATCATATTATTTAAGCACATGTAATATTTTTTTGATAACTAGGTTCAGAAAGTAATTAATATCTATTACTCTAACTTCGCTACATATAGCTCAAACATCATCGCTCAATAACATCTTAATTAAGTAATGTATTACATGTGATCTATCTATCTTCGTGTGATGTAGAATCCTCTTTGTAACTAAAGAATATATAAAATCAAGGATATAACAAACTAAGAATTCTTTCACATTAATTGGAATTATTCAAAAAATTTGTTTTTAATACATTGGCTCATCACAAACCTATAAATGAAATATTTTATTTGTTCCTATTTTTTTACAGACTTTTTCAGACCCAAATTAGCATTGACGTAGTATGGTTTTAGTCGAAATAAGTGTGGTTTTAGTCGAAAAAATTATGGTTTTAGTCAAAGATTTAGAAGTCCTGTACTATATATATATGGATGGTTTCAAGGGGTACGTAGACTAATATGGAATTCTTTATGAGAGGCGAGAATATACATTGTTGTCAAGTTAAGGATGCAAAGTCGTCTTTGTCCGGTTTGCATTGATACAAGTCGTTGATTTGTGCATAATAGGTTTACCTCAATCGGAAAGTTTGGATAACGTTTGAGATTATTGTAATGAAAAATTTAAATAATACATTGGCTCTTAATTTATGAACCGCATGCATGGTGATCTGCCTACTGAAATCGCAATAAGAAAGTGAGTCACTTATCGTAGCTATTGAAGATTTTTCTTGGGTATGTTGATGCATATATATGCATGTATCATAAAGGTTATCATGGAAAATATAATATCAAGTTGATATTTCTGTGAGCGATTCTGGCGTGACTCGTCACTCGCGACAAAGTTGAATATAATTCAGCCAAAAGGTTTTGAAAGCGATTCAAGGATCTGATCAATGCATACTTTGGATCCGATGATTTTGTGTGTTGATTAACACTCAGCCTTGTTTTAAAAAACTTTTTCTGGCAAGTCTAATGATATTCACATTCCTTTATTAAAAAAATGACAAACAAATAGGACTTATATATGATATCAATTGCAAAATACATATTTCAAACATTTTTTTTTTGGGGAGAATACTTAATATCGTTTTTTTGTCATCTAAATACAAATTAAACGAATAATTTAAAAACAAAATCTTATCGTAGTAAGTAAATTTCAGAACCCTCAGTTTATACTAATTCCAAGATCAGCATCCACTAATATTGGCAGTAAGATGTAAGTAACTAATCCTCTAAATCCACTCGGATAATTTAAATCTTGGTAACAATTTTGGTAATAACCACTAATTAAAATTGCTACTAGAGATTCATGTTTATGAAAATAAGTATTTATATTTGTGCTGCGTCGATATCAGTTCCCCTTCAAAAAACGATATACAAATCCCCATAGTAAAAAGACTAAATACGAAAAAGGCTCTAAAATAGTAATCTAAGTTCTGAAAGTACAATGGTAGGTGAAAATAGGTTATAATATTATCATCGCGTACGTGGTTAACTAATATCAGTAAATAACGAACACATTTGACAAGAGGGGGGAGTCTAGCATTTATAAGGCAAAAGTCAAATTTACTCGACTTTCTTTCTCTTTTTTTTTTTTTTGTGGGTTTTTTAAATTTACGAATACCAAAGTATGGAATTTCACAACGTTTAATTTCTTGCTTTTAGTAAAATCTAGTTGAAAGTTTAAATTTTCATCAAAAAAAAAACTATTTTCTTTAATAATCTTTATATATGTATGTACAAGTACCAGCAATTTGACTAAGTAGTAATTATTTACTACACCGTCAAATAGTAATTTATATCGGTTCTTGAAAGTCTGATAATATTATAAAAACCATATATGTTAGTAGCTAAGTGACAAGGCAAATGGAATTCTATGAAACTGATGTTTGATTACGATTTTATTAATTAATGACATTATGGCTAACTACACTGAATTTGGTGTGGTTTTGATCTTTGTAGGTTTTCTCCTCCAAAGTCATGAGATTTTGTAGATTTTTCGTGACTATGGAAATAACTAATAAGGATGATTCTGCTTTGATCGCTGTTGGTTTAATTGTTGTCGTTGTTCCCAGAAATAGAATTGGCCATTTCTTAAATATTTTGTGTGTTTTTTTTAATTGTTGTTTTGTTTCCTTCATCATTAATAAATCTTAATCAGAGCGATTTGGTTATATTAAACTTAAAACCTTTATAACAAGCACATCTACGGTTCTACCAAAAAAACCAAACACATCTACGGCAAACAAAATTACTAATATGAGTTGCCTACAATTTTTTTTATACCTCAACAAACTTAAGGGGCATCAACAAAGCCAATTGACGAAAAGATCTCAAAAATATAACGTGGAAAACTGGAAAATAGAATGTGTATATATAGTTTGATATTGGTCCAGCTTCACACCACACCTGAGTTTAATTTTGGTACCGACTTCAAAATCAGATCGCACTATAGGCAAAAAGTCTAAAGGAATAGCTAGCTAGGGGGAGGGATACGTCAAACCCAATGAAATTCCAAAAAGCCAAGTTTCCTCGGTTTATACCCATTTTGTCTCTCTTCTCTTCTGGTTTTGACTCTTTTGGGTTTTTTAACTTCTCAAGCGTGTGCACTTGATTTTAGAGCTCTAACTCTTTTTTTGTATAATTAATAATGCATGGTTAATTTATCATTTACGTGGTTCACAGTACATATATAATAAATACTATATGTGAAAATATATGTATTAGTCAAAACTTCAAAGTCTCCAAGCCCAAGCATCCATACCTCTGTCTTCGTGAACATAATTAACCCTCTTTACCACAGTTAATCATGTCCCTCCATCACCTTCGAAATTTTTATATTTGACCAAAACTCGCTTCCCTTGATTCTTGTTTTAATACTAATATTCATCAAATTTATTGTTTCACTAATTAATTAGTTTTCAGGTTGCAATATATCATATGATCATTGTCTAAGAAGATAGTGGGATATGTGTGGATCAAAAATAATAATCTAAACGTTCTTTGTTCTTACTAAGAGAGGTACAGATACATACGAGGACCTAGGTTAAACATCTTATATGGTTATCATTCTTAAACAAGCCATACAAATTTACAAAGGAGTATTCTTGAAATTTTATTATATGCTGGAAATATAGTACCAGAAAAAAAAACAATCGGACCAACGTAACTTCGATTTATAAGTGTTCATATTCGATTAATTAATTTCATCATATCAAGTAATATTTTCGTTAGATTATACACTTGAAAACTATAAGATATTTCATCTAAACGTTGACTTAAAAATCCCCCTATTAAGAAAACCAATGTATAAATTAGTACGTCGACGTCGTTTTCACACGACAAAAAAATCTCATACGGAAACCTCTTGTGCTGAAGGTGTGAGTCATCTATTGGGCCTTGACTGGGTTAATCAGATGGGCTAATCAGTAAACAATGATCATTATTGCCGACTCACTTAACATTTCTTATTTTATTTTGGGCAATTTCTCACAAAGCTGTGTATGCAATTAGTGCTTTCTCAACAAAAGAGTTACTACTACTACTTGGCCGACAATGTTTTATTTTCTTTTGTTAATAATTTGTTAAGATAGATATGTAGGCCAGCTAATTATGGACTTTCGTTTTGGCTTAACCAAATGATCAATGGTTCTGACTTTTGTTGTTGTTGAAGGGAAGTGGAGTGCGTCTATCATTATTGGCTCATATCATTAGTCATCCATTTGTATTCACGACGAGACCAGTCTGATGAATACATCT